CTACTCTTACAAAGCACCAAGGCCTTCACTTTTCCCCCATTCTTTGTTTTATGCCCTCCTCATGTTCTCATACACTGTCTTTTTGTTGATAACATAAAATTTTATGTCTTATTCCATTGCTTTGTCAGTTGGCTGTATCTCATGATATCCTCACCACTACAGCTTTATCATCCGTGAGTTTACAACTACGCCAAGCATTACCCTTCCAGATTCCTCTTTCATCTGTTCCTATGCAGATCCAAATGTTCTGTTCTTTTTATTTAGTTGTGAAAAACTTGTGCTTGTACAAATTGGAAGGTTCACTAAAGAAAGGTGCTTAAACAGTTTGGATAACTTTGCAAATGGCCTACACAAGATGCAATTCAGGGTGCATATGTAATTATTGCACATCAGTAACTGTCTTTTTAATCACCCCAAATGTCCAATTGCATGTTTTGAACTTGCTGATCTTTACAATATTTTATGAATTGAGGGCTGTTTCAGGAGAAGATAATGTTAAAATTCCATCTTTAAAGCACATAAGGTTTGCAGTTGAAAATGCCCAAGCAATATTGAAAATCAAGGATGATTCTTGGAGAATGCTTATTCTGGTTGGGCAGATGGATTTTTTTATTATTTCATATATTTTCTCAGTAAAAACCAGATTTTTAAGTCATTATGCTATTCCATCAATATGTAATCTAGACAGTCTCAGCAATAATATGTTTATGAATCTATTTTAACTTCTATATTGTTTCCTCTTTTACACCACAATTTTCACTGGTTTTGGTATTCTGAAATTCCCACTTTTCCTCTTACACTGCATAACAATTCCTATATCATGTGGATCTTAACCAGCACATTCAATTTAAAATGCAGTACTTTACCCAGTGGTCATTACACCATGCAGTTATAGCTTTAACAAAGTATTTGTGCCACTGTTTTTCTCATTAAATTTCTCCTAAAGATAGATTTCTTTCATCACAGTTGCTGCTTCATTGCATAAAAAAGGCTTTACTCTTCTATAGTTTTTCTATAATTTGTTCTGTAGTTTCTCATTAACCTGTTTTTCCCAGAAAGGTTATAATCCCTTCCAGTCTTATTGTATGTAACTCAAAAATTTCTCAGAATGACATTTCTATAGCATCCAAATTCTTTGTACTTAGACTTGAAGAAAAGTGACATTAAGATCAAAATACTTAGGTCTGTGCTGTCTCATCAGCAACTGACCTCAGAGGAGATATTTTTATTAAATCCAATAGCAAATTGGATAGATCATAGAAAAGTTGTTGAAAGCAACCTTTAAAGTTTATCTAAAATAACTCCCCTGCAATGAGCAGGGACATCTTCAACTAGATCTGGTTGCTCAGAGCCCTATGCAGTCTGACTGAATGTTCCTAGGATGAAGGCATCTATCACCTCTCTGGAAACCTGTGCTAGTGTTTCACCACCCTCATTGTAAAAATTTTTCTCCTTACAGGTAGCCTGAATCTACCCTGCTTTAGTTTAAAACAATTAACCTTTGCAACAGAGTCTGCTGAAATGTTTCTGCCCATCTCTTTTATGAGCCCCCTTTAGATGCTGTAAGGCTACAATAAAGCCTTCTTGGAACTTTGTCTTCTCTCTCAGCCTTTCCTCATGGGAGAGGTGCTCCATCCCTCTAATCCTGATGTTTCTGCCCTGGGCTTGCTCCAGCACTCCCATGTTCTTCCTGTGCTGGAAGCCCCAGAGCTGGATGCAGCATTGCAGGTGGAGCCTCCCCAGAGCAGAGCAGAGGGGCAGAATCCCCTCCTTCCCCTGCTGCCCACGCTGCTTTGGATGCAGTCCAGGGAATGGTTGCTGCAAGATCCTTCTAGAACAGAAAAAGTGAGTGCACATCCTTTTTCAAGCATTCCAATCATTCATAAAATCTTTGAGATCATACTGTGTAAAATATTTCCTGTTGATCTCAAATTACTTTTGATTTCCTTGAAACGTTTTCTGATTAAATAAACTGTTCACAAGTAGTGCTTACACTGAGAGGAAGTTGAAAACTCTCATTATGTTGCAAAGTAATTCTAATGTTTTTATCTTTGATATTAAGTGGTCTGTAGGTGAATCCAAGCTCATTTGTTGCTGCAACAGTTTGTAAGACTGTCCCTAAAATCTGAACCTGTCCATCATAAGAATTTTTGCTATCTAAGAAACACTACCTCCAGGCTTTCAGCAAAAATACAGCTGTTTCATTTCAAGCCATTTGTCTAAACTGAAATACAAAAAATTTATACAACTTACAGCATCTGTATCATTTAGTGCTAGAACCGTTAATGACTTAATGTCAAAGTAAAAAATTCCCAAAACTTAAAAGCTTTCTGGTTATAAATCACTGTTTTGTTAGAGTCAAACCATCTATTGTTGACACTTATGTAATAAAATACTTAATTAATATTAATTCTTTAGAAATGGCTACTCTTCCTATTTGAAGTATGAATATTCAGAAAATATATGTGAAACTCCTAGGACTGACCCTGGAACTATTTGAAAACAAAAAAGCTCAGTTAATTTAATAATGAACATCCAACAAATGAATAATTAAAAAGAAAGAAAGATAACTGCATTTTCCAGTGGGACAGTTATGTATTATCTACAATGAACATATGTGACCCTTTGCAATCTCTGATTGCATCTGAAAGCTATTCTCAAAATAGCTGACTCACAATATTTCTGAGTTTGAAGTCAGATGCATTGTTCCAGATGAAGCTCAGCTGGTTAAAAAGTTGTTTCATAGCTTCTTGTATGACATCATAATCTGTGAGAGTTATCACCTGTGAGAGTTATCACCACTTACTAGGAGCACACCCACTCCTACTAATTTGCTTCTGTAAAATTATCTGGGTTAGAAAACACTTCTACTATTAGCTTATGCTAGTGCTGAGTGCTGATCTGAGGGGTGTTTGATGAGAAGAAAAAGTGACAAGGAGTGGAGAACAGTATGGTCTTAACCCAGCCGCGCTGCAGCCTAAAAAAACCAGAGCAAACCATTGTCTTGTGTGATCTCAAGTTATTTTACTAGCTGGCCCATGAGATGCCCAGTTAGTAAAATAACTTGTGAATAAATTGCTTGCCTAAGATTTATTCTAATATACTGTTGCTTCACTTGCCATTTGGTAGTCAAGAAAAAATTCAGATGCATGTGATCACTTTGGATGGCTGGCATATTTGATCAGAGTGATACAGTTAATTTGGATTACTGCTGAGGAACAAGAATAAGGTAGAGGAGACACATGCAATTTCAAATTCAATGTTTGTTATTAATGACAGTGTACAATTTTAGACATGAATTGAAATATGTTCTTGTGTGCCCCAGAAGTAAAATAAATCTGTTGAGGCTCTGGACTAGGAAATATTATTCTATAGATGATGTAGCAGAGGGTTGTGTTTTATGTCTTCGTAATAAATCTCCAAAGTTTAGAAACACTGGAACCAAATTTATACTAAGATGTGAATCTGATATTTTTTAGCTCATTTAACCCTATTAATGTAACTGATGTTACCAGGATATTTCTCAGATTGCAGTTATATAAACACACTCGGAGTGTAAATCAAGAAAAGATTTAAACATATTACCCTTTAGAGCTACCAACTTCTGGCTTAAAAGAATTTTGCTTACTTTGGAAAGATTTAATTCTATATTTCCAAACAGTTAAAATACCATCCAGCCTAACACCGTTTTTTTGGAATTATCACAAAAATTAATTCTGTTCAATTTTCTTTTTTAATTCCACTACCTGTGGCAATTCAATTCTAACAGAATGTAAAGCAGTACCATAAAATTAAAATTCTGGTGACTAATTATTGCTATAATGACCCTTGGCATAATAAATATGTAAATATTGGATATTTCTTCAGTATGATGACTTTTACTCAATATTACAGAAATAACAAGATAAAGATCAGTTTAAATGTACATTAGTAGAAAACAAGCAAGTTTTAATGCTTTAATTTGGAAAAGGCTGTGCAATTAAAACCAGACAGCTGTTGTGGAAACCTTAAGGTTTAATGGGAAAAGTTATAAATCATGATTTATGGTGAGAGAATGCAATTTCTTGGAGTTCCAGAAGCGTACTTTATAAGTTTTTTATATAACTTTATAAGATCTGCAAAATGTCACTTAAATGGTAGCCAGGGATATAATTTGTGCTTCCCATGAGAAAACAGAAACAAATTTAAAGCTAAAGAGAGTGTAAAGCAATTGCATGTTCCAGTCATCAATTTATCCTCACACTATCTCTACAAAGTCCATTTTAACTGCAGTTATTTTTTATTTTACACTAACATTGGACAGTTCATGGTAGGTCTGGGGTCTTTGACCTTCGTGGGATCATAGATCAAGGATGCAATTTGTCCCCAAACTAGCAAACAACAGAACAGCCTTATTTCAGAGTTCATCTTCAGAGCATGAATAATGTACATGAAGGTACAGAGAAATGTTAGTGTGTGGGAAAGCACTGGGTTTATAGTGGGTTTAGTGTAGGGGAAAGCACTGGCCTTAAAAGGCCAGCTCCTCCTCTTGCTGACAGGGTTGAGCAGCAAGGAGATGTTAGAGAACATGACTGAAGCCATGGGTATGTTATTGACTGAATGTGTTGATTATGCCCATTGCAAAAATTTTATATAGGGACATTTGTCCTTTGACGTAATAGGATATTTGGACACATAGGATATTTGTTAAAGGACAAATCATAGGGACAGATCATCAATACCTGACCTTGTCCCACAGCAGAGGAATCTTAGATTGTCAATGGAATGTCAATGGATGGGAAAATCTTGGCCAATAGTCTCTCAGCCTTGTCATGAAATGGTAGAAGCAGAACCTCTGAAAGATTTTTATTTCCTGATGGTTTCTGTGTCCTGTTGGATGGCCATGTGTCTTCATTGCTAGAAGGCCCAAAATATAGGTCTTCAACACCTTCTTCCACTTTGCTGCAGTAAGAAAGATATTCAGCAATGTCACAGAGATAATTTTCTCATATGTATTCCAGAAATGGTGATAACCAGCAGAGGAGACTGAGATTGGTGCCTGTTTTTTCTTCAGTTGTCAGAGGCTTCACAGAAGGTAAGCTATTACTCAAAAGGGGAGCTTACACAAGTGAGAGAATATCCATTCTATTGGAAATTATTGTTTAAGTCAAAACCAAGCTGCATGTTGTTTCCAGTGTCAGTTGTCTGTGTCAAAATCTGATTGAACAAGCCTATGGTGGGATTGATTTTGATGCTGACAGACATGCAGTGGCAACACTGGTGCTACAGACAGAAGCACAAGGCACATGGGTGCTGCCATTTTCAGAGCTATTAGCATTCCAGAAACTGAGAAAGCACAGAAAAAAAAAAAAAAACCAAAAACAAAAAAACCCCAAAACTCTAAATATGTAAACACATAAAAATTATTCAAATTCAGGAAACTATTTAAGCAAACAAGCAACAGAAATAAAACCCAGAGACCAAATATTGAGCCGCATACTCAATTTCCTAATCTGTTTTCATAGCCTATTAGGCCTGTAAATCCACAGTAGGAGACACACAGACGTGCACATTTTTAAATTTAGTTACACTAGGTTAGAACTGTAGTATTCCACAAAATGGATAAACCCTGAAATGTTACAGTTTTTATCCTCATTTTCTGAGCTGTAAAAATGATAAGCATGGAAAGATCATAAGCATGGAAAGATGCTTTGTAACTACTGTTCAGTACTTTTAGGAAAGTGAAGCATTCTGGTTATGTTTAGAAAAAGAACATTGTTGATTGCTCAAATAAAGATTCAAGTCTTCATTTAGAAATAATTATCAGATCCATGGATTAGGGGAACCTGTGTGTGAAAGTACACATGCCCATATAAATACTGGAAAACTATATTTAAGAAATACAAATGGCTTATTTTCTTTCATATTTTCTATAAGCCCAATATTTGAATCATCCTTTTGTGTGCATTTGGAGTTTCTTGCTCCACATTGTGGTGGGTTGTCAAACATCTGCTTGGCCTATTGCTTACTCCCTCTCCTCAAGAGGGTAGAGGGGAGAAAAGAGGAAGAACAGTGGGGAGAATGTTCATGGGTCAGGATGAAGGCAGGGAGATTGCTTACCAGTTACTGTCACAAGCAAAGCGGCTCACCTGGGAAAAGACAATGCAACCACTCCTAATTAAAATAGGCATTTATTAATTTGGGTAGTGGAAAACAGAAAGAAAACTGTTAAAGTAGCACCTTTCTCCCTAAGTCTCCCCTGACTCTCTTTCCAATGTTCTACATCATTCTTTCATTCCTGGCTCTTCTAACCCTGCTCCAAGTGGTGCAGGAGTTTACATCAGCACTTGGCTGTTTCTTTGCTCCTGTGTACTGCTGTTCCTCCTGGCACTTCTGTGCTGCATGTGGACCCTTCACAAGCTGCAGGGGAGATAGCAGCTCTTCCACGGAGCTCCTCCTTCTCTGACATCAGTTTTCTCTCTCATTTCTCACTCCTTTTTCCCCTCCTCCTCTCGCTGTCTGGCATTTTATGAATTTTTTAAAATATGTTTTCATGGAGATGTCATCAGCTTGGCGGATGTGTTCACTTGTGTCCTGTGGTGGGTCCATTGGAGCTGATTGCACCCGATTGTGTGTGGCACTGAGCAACCCTGGCTCCCCCCACAGAGACCCTCTACAGCCCCACCTGGACACCTTCTACCTTGCCAAGGACTGAAAAATTTTGCAAAATTTTAATCGTAGAGGAAATCCAGTTACTTTCCAATTTTTTTTTTTTTTGTTTCTCTCTGATGTACATCACAGGAGACCACTTACTCTGAATTGTGTATGAAAGTTGAAACTGCAAAAGCATTGGTTAAAAATTACAAAACATGATCCAGAATACCAGCTATATTGCTAAGTCTTTGCCTTCAGGATGCATAATTTCTTTTCATCCTTAGCACTGATGATTTAAATAGTCATCTTCCCTCTCCCCACCAAAATAATTCTGAAATATTGCATTGATTAAGAAGAAAAAGTACATCACTGCTGGAAAATTTAGCCTTAAAGCTTCTAATTTTCAATAACTGAGATGCAGTTAACCAATTACTTTTATTGTCTAATTCTCAGAATTTAGCACCTTTTTAAAATTCTGCTATAAACATTAGTTGTTTATGGTCCTGCAGTTGTAAGACAATGCTATTTGCAGCCTGGCAGGTGTTTAATCTCTGGTGACTGTGAGATAGGTCATTTATCTCTGCCTGAAAGCTCTTTGGTAGTATTTTGTATTTCCTGTCATTAGCAGTGAAGCTGCAGGTCTACTCACATCCATTTGGGCATAGGAGTCTGTTCTTCTAGTTCACCTTTATGGCAGATGTTAGAATAAAAGATATCTTGGATTTTAGTCAGTGCACTAAGAATTTTTTAAGGATTAGTAATCACAGTTCTGGCATGCTAATAAGAGAAGCACAAAGGCTGAAAGACTGGGTGTTTGACCTTTTATGACAGGAACTTGCAAATCATACTGTTACAAGCTTTGCTTGCCTACAGCTTCAAAGTAAATAGCTACAAAATGTTCTGCTATAGTGCTGAACTTTTAAAAGAAATTAGTAAGGAGAGATTCAACTGCTGACAAAAGAGAGAGTACTTCACAAAGGGGGCATAAAGAAAAGCACAGGAAAGAAGCAATCAGAGAGGAAAGCTAATGCAGGAATGAAGTAAGAAGAGTACTTTATGTGCTGGATATGATAAAGGCTGGACAAAAAATTAATCAGCTTCACATGAGTAGCCTACTTTTTAATGAAGTACAAAGCTGTCAGCAAAAGAGAAAATGTCACCAAATGTCAGCAACAGAATAAGCACAATATAAATCAGAACATATTCCTTGAGATAAAAGTTGCATAAACTTCATGAAACTTTCCCAATCAAGTTCTAAAAGAAGAATAAAAAAATCTTTACAGAGAAAATGTCAATGCTAATACAGTCAAACAGAAAACTACACTAATGGGGCAGAATGAAAAATAAAATTATCTCAAGTTACAAAATACAGAATGACCTGATGAACTGCCTTGTACATGAGCCTCCAATTTTAGAGAAAATAAAATTTTTTAAATAAAACCCAAGGCAGTGAATTGTTTTATGAAAATTTAAATGTTTTGTTTGAGTGTGTGAGTTCTGTGTAGTGTAACAGGTGCTTATTAGTCTTCTCTTCTTCTACTGTAAATAAATTATGCCCTTTTGCATCTTTCTTGCATTTAGATGCTTTATTTCTTCTTTGGCAATAAAGAATAGCTTCAGTTGCTTAATAGAGAAGGAGCATCTCTGGCTCAGGTACCTGGAGAGCATAACCTTGCTTATCATATTCCACTGCCTGAAGAACATTTTCACCCTCTTTTTTTTTTTTCTTCAAACACGCCTCTCATATGTTTAGGAGAAAGTGTCCTCATTATTATCTCCTGACATTTTTTCCTTTGTATGAAATAAAGACCTGTTAGTACAAGCTATGAAACATCCATAATCTATAGTGGATAATCAATCTATGGATAATTTTGGGTTTTAATTATACTATGTATAATGCATACAATAGAGAGAAGGAAGGAAGGAAGGAAGGAAGGAAGGAAGGAAGGAAGGAAGGAAGGAAGGAAGGAAGGAAGGAAGGAAGATGTAAGTAAAGGGGAATTTGGTAGAAGAAATGCATTACTTTGAAACAATTGCAAAATTTTTTTTCTATCAAAAAGGAAAGAAAACAACTTAAATAAAACAAGTGTAATTCTACTGTCACAGAAACACTGGAAAGATCACAAGTCTCTAGGCTTTAGGTCTTCTATGAGTTTAGTAGCATGTTTGGTGCAGCATCATCAACATCTAACAATGCATTATGTGCTTCTGCTGGCTCTGCAACAGCCATGCTAGGTTCTGATGATTTAAGAAAAAAAGAAAAAGAAGAAGGGTGTAAGAAAAAGAAAGAGAAGTAGAGAAAGTAAGAACCAAGTGCCCTCTATGGTAGTCAAAAAGTTACTAATGGAATGGAAGGTATTCAAACAAAACAAAACTAACAAAATTATATATATATATATATATATATACATCCATCTATATCCACACACAGATAAAATCCTTTAAAAGAAAAGATGCTTCAGGAAATAATATCTTAGAAGAAAAAAGTCTGAGCTATGGGAGAGGTTCTTTGTTTAAGAAGTACTTTACTCTCTGGAAAAAAGCCTACATTTCTTTATAGAAACAGATGCTACTGATTATTGTCCTGATTTAGGTACTCAAGAGATACAAGACCCTCAGTCATCACTTTCTCTTGATCACCCTGGCACTGGGTTTTCTGATTCCTGTTCCTAGACTTTCTTTCTATAAACTGAAGGGTTGAGATGGAACATGTGGGATTGTGAAACCTACAAGATAAAAACAGTGTGACCCTGGGTTTTCTGATTCCTGTTCCTAGACTTTCTTCCTATAAACTGAAGAGTTGAGGTGGATCATGTGGGACTGTGAACCCTACAAGATGACAAAGAATTTAAGCCCAAGTCACCAGCACCTGTGATCCCCCTCTCCTCAAGCTTTATGTGTGTATTGATGATGAACAGTGACATCAGAACAGTGAACAAGTGGCTCTCCCATTATTTCCCTTACCTCTGACTGCTGAAAGATCCAATTCTCAAAGAGTTATAGAGCTCTGTGAGTATAGTCCCACTGAATTCAACAGCAGAATTTATGTTTGTGTTTATTCAGTATATGGCTCCTCCAGGCTTTTCTTCCATGGACAAATGCAGCCAAATAAAAACAACCAGAATCGCAGAGGTCCTGCTCTCTATGACAGTTTTCTGTGGTGGTTTTTGTATTCCAGCTCTCCCATTCTTATTTTATTTCCATTGAAATTAGTTGGTAATTTAAAGGGTGCATTTAAGGCCTGTTATTCATTGTGAGATTAGTGTGGACATTCAGACTCAGATCAACAAAGTACTCACCCAGGGATATAGGAAAGTTTATGAGCTCTAAGGAACTTGTTCACTAGATAGGAGGAATGTTAGCTGGTGCTACAGTAATTAATGGTTAAATTACCCTTGGGTAGTAGGTAGTAGGTAGCATAACTTTACAATCTGGTAGCTTTAAATTTCACTACTAATTGTAGCAGTGGGAGTTAGAATGCAGGTTGAAGACATAATGAAATTACCATAGGGAGGAACAGACTAATGAACTGAAGTCCAACAAAAGTTATGGCTACATTACTGTCAACTTGAAAATCTGTAAATAAGAGCTTTGAAAACCATTGAGGGCACTATACAATGGGTTTTATGTGTATATAAGTATGAAATGTGGATTGGGAGGAATAATTGAGTTTGCTAGATTGTCAAGTACGTACTTGGAAAAAAAATCACTTGGTCATCATTTAATCTTCTTTGCACACCTTTTTCATCTTATTTGCATTTTTAATGCAAACCCCCACAGAATATCTCTTCAATCATACTGAATTGGTTTGTGTCAAGCAGTTAATGCATACACAACTTTGCAAGTCTTTTAATTCCTCAGCAAAAAACTTAGAGGAAAGCATAATAAACTTTTTATGTTTTTGGTACTTGGAAATTCAAAGTCAAACTTTCCTAGTTTTATTAAAAATTCTGAAATCTTGGTTTATTGAATAGTAATTCTAAACCAGCTTTTTAATGAACTCGACTATTTCAAACTAAATTATTTTCAGTCAATAAAATATAGATGAGTGAATCCAGTGCTTTAGGAAATGTGGCTGAAAAATTATCCCTATGGATGTCTTTACTTCTGGGTATTTTAATATGAATTTATAGGTTTATTTTTAAAGTTCCTGTTCTTTGGAAATGTTATATGAAAATCAGGTGTGTTGCTCTACCTGCTGCAGTTTGAAAGAACAGCATTTGACCTTCCAAAGGATGTTACAGCCAGTATTTGTTGTGGAAGTTTAAATGCATTTGATCTGTTTGATCTATCAATCATCTATAACACCATTTTCTCATATATTGTGAGGCTTTTTCATGGATTACCATTTGTATCAGCTACATCAGCTGTATCAGTTTCACTTATATCAACTATTATTTTCAGCTTTATGCAGACCTGTATATTGCCTAGCCTGTGAATTGTTCCAGTAGTAGAAATTCCATTATTTTACTGCTCAACCTGTGCCATCACTTTGTCATTCTAATCTAAATTATTACCTAATAACCTGCCTTTTCTATTGTAAATGAGGCCTGTTTGTTCTCGTCCTGTATGTCACTGTAATGCAGGAATAACTTATTTTCCCTTTGTTCCACAGCTTTTAACATAATTAAAATCTATCCCACATCCACATTAATGCTAAGAAGATGTCCAGTCTTCTCTTTCCATGTTTTCTGTACCTCTGACCACCTATTGATCATCTCTCTAAGCTGTATCCAGTTAATTCCCTTCTTTCTTAGACGGCAGTTCCAAGGCTGCTCAATTCATGAAGGCTGTGCCCCAGATAATTAGGGCAGGGACAGGCATTTAGACTCAGATCTGCTACCTAGGTGGTTATTTTGCATCCTGTCCCCTTTATCCTATACCTGTTTGGCTGCTGTTGGACAGCTGGAATGTCTTGCACAAATTTCCAGTTTTTCACCTGTACATGGTCCTGAAATTTAGGTGCCATCTCTCTTACCTTCATGTAGGTTCACTAAGCATCCTCTGCCCCATTACCTGTGACATTAATGAAGTCATTGAACGGATCCTAACTAAATACAGGCTTCTGTATATCCCCCAAGCCCTCTGAATTTCATTATGCTAACTGCTCTCTAGCTACAGTTATCTATGATTATCCAAGGTGTTTTGCACCTACCATCTAGAAATTAAATCCATTTGAGCTTTCTGGCCTCTTATGGGCCTGTATTATCACATTGAAGTATATGATCTTTATTACTGCTGCAATATTTGTCAATGGTTTGCTCAGATTTTTCTCAGAACTAATCACAAGCTGGTTATATTTCTTTAGTTCCACTTTGCTAGCTTTTTAGATTTGTTTTGTTGTTTTTTTTTTTTCCAAAAGCACTATACTTTCTACATTTGCTAACACTGATTTCCATTCTTTTGGCATTTAAATCCACCTTGATGATTTCATAAAGAGAGTGATTCTATGAGTCTTCAGATCATCCTTTGGGTATCTCAGGTAAAACTCAATCATGTCTCAAGGTTTTGAAAATTTGTTACGTAGATGTTACGTTATAAATTTTCCTTCTCTTTTCTCAGCTGACACCATACTACTTTCTTTGTTACCCTTAATTAAACTACCTTTAATCAGGCATGCTTCCATTTTCTCTTTTTATGAAGACTGATGCAAAAATGTGCAAGAAACATTTCAGCTTTCTCAGCATCCCCTGTCACTTTTTCTTCCTCCACTTATTACCAGATTTCCTTGGGCTTTTTCTACCTGTGAATACGTTTAGTAGTATTTCACATATTAACCACTCATCCCTGAAGTTTACCAAAAATTGGTATGACTAGACTGGGGCTGTTTTCTCAAAAAGTGGTTAGTAGGTGTAGTGGGAAGATATTCAGAACTGGATGATAATAATAAATTTCCTTCCTAATACCTCACAGTGGTGAATCATAAGAAACATGGTTAATAATTTCTGCTTCATTTTCAGTTTGAGTTTTTCTATTTTGAGCTTCCATTCATTAATCCTTTCTTTGGTACACCTCCTTTGCTGGGTTAACTGCCAGCCTTTTCTTTCTGTAAATGCACTTGTAAGCAGTGAAGAGTTCAATTTGCATTTCACCTCTGAGAAAAGAGCCTGAATTCTCCTTGCAAATGTCTGTCTCCAACAGTATATCTATGAACCCTCCTGGTTTTATTCACTGTTTCCTACTGATGTATGTCCTAGGATAATAATGATATCCTATGTTCTATGATGGCTGTTAAAGAGTGGTCAAGGTAGTAAAGTGTGAATTTACAGGGTTAAAAAGAGCTGACTAGATAAAGGTATGAGGTTTGGAGGTAGGGGGTGCTAAAATGTGACAGGAAAAATGAGGAGAGGAGTAAGGAAATGGGAATTTCTATGTTGTGTGTTAATAGTGGAAAGATATTTTTCTTTTTGAATATCTGGATTGAATGAAATTTTGATTTTGTAGGTAATACTTGTTAAAAATTAAATTTCATTAACATCATAAAGATTTACAAATTAAGTGCTTCCATTTAATTTTCAGAATGGTATTGAGCCTGTCTGAGGACTTTTGTTTTAACATATATGCCTGAAAAGCAAAAATATTAAATTTCTGCGTTTCTGGTTTAATTAATAAAATATATAGAACAAAAGCACACAGATATAGGTGGCAAGTATATAAAAGCATAAACCAAGGTTGAAATTTAAATTCCTACACTTGAAAAATATGATGATATTATGATTTTAAAGGGATTCTTCTAATCCTCTCCCACAATGTTCTCTGTAGCACATACATTTAGGCATTGTGTACAGTTCGCATGATAAAAATTTTGATTTCAGGTACACTTAGAAATATGTAGGGTCCTAATTCAGGACTAAGTAAATATTAAAAATTAATGAAAATAAAAATATCTCCTCCTCAACTTATTCATTATCAGAGTCAGTAAGTAACTCCAGTTCAGTACTAACTCAAATTATTTATATTTAAATTAGTAATTCAAGTCACCTTAGTTGCAATGCAAGTGGTCAGAGAACAAAAATACTCAGGGAACCACAGCTGATGGCTCAATTAGTACCAGAGCACAGTTACACAATCCTCTTGGAGTAGATGGGACTCCTGTGCGGTACTAGGTTAATCAGGAACATGCAGCTGTCATTATTTTCCTGCTGGCAGATCCTTTTTGAATTTAAAGTCCTATTTAACCTGAGGTGGAAACTTATGTATGTACATGAGAATGGAGTTCTAAATGAGGTATAACTCTTTCTGCTTCTGAGACTAGCGTTGCACTGAAAACAAGAGCACGAAGCATTCAAGCACTTCACTAATACTTACACCTCCATAGGCCCTCAATTTCTGTTTTACTTTATTCTACCATCAACCTTCTTCATACAATAAAATGCATAATCAAAGCAGGGAGCTAAGATAAAAGTGAAAAAAGCACTAGAATCTCCACTTTGTGTAGGCTTTTTTTTCATAACAAGCTTAGTCTTTGATCATTTTCCATTTGATCAAAGAGAGCTTTGATGCTCTTTGAAGAAGTACTGAATTATTGGAATAAAGATATAGAATTTGATTCACATTTTCATCCAAATAAAATAAGCAAAAAAGTGGACTAGTAGTTTGCAGTAGATATGTCTAAGGATATACAAATAATTGGAAAAAGCCCCCCACAAATATAAAGAAAAAGGGAGTATAATCTATTTATAAGTGGAAGTTAACAGCAGGAAAGAAAGCCAAATGTATACCATGTTTTTTTCTAGAAAATGTGTCTCTAACTTCCAGTCAAACTGTGATAAATGTCTTCAGCTTGGAAGGAAATATATGCTTATGAATATCAAAGTGCAAAATGCATTGCAGATCCATGCCTGAGCAATATTTACCACAGCTGGAACGCTTTACTCTAAGGAATGCTAGAAAAGAAGGAATAAAAGTCTAGGAAAAAGCAAGTACAGTTTAGCTCTCTATGTTTTATGGAGTGTTGCACAGTAAGTGAGGTGAGGGTTTTTTTCTGGTGGGTTTTTGTTGTTTGATGACAAAAGTAGAAGAGTTCATACTTTTGAAATTCATCAAAATGAATATACGTAAAATCTGTAATCTGGGTCTAAACTCATGTTTTTCAGCCTTTAATGAAATACTTCAGTTTCATTTTGGAGGGTGGATGGTCAAAGGCAGCCACAAAACAAAGCCAAATTTCAAAGTACATATTCTTTTGTTGTTTTGGGGGTTTTTTATCTTTTTTTTCCTTTCAGTTTTCTGTTTTTCCTCATAAATAGCCCAGTGCTAGAAAGTGCCAGCAAGGTCAGATACACAGAAAAAAACTGTAAAGACTGAAAGCTGCATTTAGTTTAGAAAGGAAAAGACTACTATTAATATATGCATTTTGGTCAACTCACTTTTATTGTAGAACAGTTATTTAATGAATACTTTGTCTCACTTGTAAATATTGATTTAAAGATGTAGAAGCTTTAGAAGTTTATAACTAATTATTCCTTTTTTCAGGAGAATGGTTACAGTGCTGGAGCTGTGTCTACCCTAAAGCAACTTTAATGATAGTTGTGTTTTAGGTCTCTGTGATTTAATTGAATTAATGTTAGTTGAAGTTCTGGTACTCAATCTATTCAGCAAAATCCCTCCCTTCAATAGAGATTTTAATGATTTTTTTTTTAAGTGGTATGAAAAGATGAGAAGTTCTTGTAAATTCAAGCTGATGTTTATTGTAGATGGTAGAAGGAGATTTATATAAGACAACTTGTCAGATTATTTTGGCTCTGACAATAAATAGACCTAACCAGGCATGAAGAGAGGCAAATTAGACCCATGCTAAACAAACAAACAAACCCCTCCCCCCCAAAAAAGCAAGAACCCCACCCAAAACAAACCAAAAACAAACAAAAAAAATGAAAAAGCAAGTTTTAGACAGAAATTCCAAACAAACATAAACCAGACAACCAGGTCTTGAAAATGAAAAAGACTTCAGCCACAGAGAATACAACTCGAGAAAGGAGGAGAAAGATGCTTCATATTCAAGGGAGGGGGCATTTGAAAACTTATTTTATCTGTCCCACCAGTGCATAGAGAAAAAGAGCTTCAGAAAGAAAAAAGAATAAAGCTGACTCCTACTCCATCTGCCTAGCAGAAAACAGAAGCAGCCTCAGATGACAACTTGGATAATTTTCCAGGTATTTTAGATCTCCCCAGAAAATTAATTGACTTCCTAACTCACTGAATTCATCTTTACCACCCTTATGTTCTTTTTAAAGAACTCTTAGAGACATTACAGAAAGTTGCAGAAATGGTAAGTTTTGAATTAGGTGGATCATGTGCAGTTGACTCACTCTAGATTCGGGTTGGCACATTAACAAATTAGAGATGTTGTTATATGCACACATGCTAAGTGAAGCATTTAAGAATAAGCACAACTGAAGATGTTGGAGTGAGGAAAGTTGCAACACTGAGAAAACTCTAGGAATTATTAAGATAAGTAAATGAAAAACCCTACATACAGAGCTCTGTCTAAAAGGGCGTATATAATTCCTACATATTTAAAGGGAGTAAGACTGAGAAGCCATTCTCCATCTGTCTACATTGGTGAAATCAAGAACAGGATATTCCATACAGTGTGATAGACTTAAAAGAGGTTGTTATGTCCTTGAAAGAGGTCAGTTTGAGGGATGATACTTACTGAGTATGTCCATCAAAACTTCAATCCATACTAATTCTGTAATTAATTATTAAATCATGGTAAATTTCTGTGCTTATAGTATTTTCCAGAATGAAAATGCATCTCTTTTATTTTAGTTGAATAATTCCTACTTTTCAAATTATGATAGGAATCTTTGTTCATATCCACTGATAAAGAGCTTATGCAAGTTAAACTTCTCTCCGGTTTGGGTCATTTTTTCTCCTTCTGTGGCTTTGCCTCGGAAGGCAAGTTCTGGTTTCTTTGAGGACTTGCTTTTCCATTGTCTTAGACGTGAAAATGCTCCAAATGATTTCTTGTTTAGCTATATTTGCTGAAGAGTGAACTTTCTTTTTGTTTTGTAGTTTTAAAAATAAATGAACAAAAATCTAGATGGCTAGACTCAGGTAATATGAAATACAGAGAACAATCAATAGCAAATGTAAAATATTAGATTGAAGCAGTGGGAAAAAACTGCATGCAGAAGAATATGATGCTTTCATAGAAAATATTTGTTAACCTCTTGCAGGTATTTACTGACATGGTAATAAATTTTAGTACTTTCAGAAAAAATAATTATAAATGTTTTATAGATGAAAATGAATTTTGGGAAAAAAGACATTCACCTGACATTTAAAATACTAAAGAAAACTTTAATAAAGTGGAAAGATACTTTCTGGAAAGATATTTTACATGAAAAATTACTAAATATTATAGTCGAAATTAAGATTATAGAAAAACATAAGAGATGCAGATTTTAACTTGCAGTACAAATATATTACCATGTAAATGTGTTCTATGTTGCTGGGGCTTTTTAATTATTGAATGGTGAATATTCCTTATCTTTGATGCAAATCCCACCAGAGTCTATATCCAGTTACTTCAGAGGATTCAGGCTAAACTGCAATCCTCTGGCCTGCATCAGATCAACAATGATAAAGGAAAAAACTTACTGTAGGTAGGTAATTTATTAAGAGTCAAGAAACAGATGAGAGAATATTCTTGGTCCAATGGAATCTGCTTAAAGGCTAGAAAGTGTGGATATCATTGTTCTCAAAGCCAGTAACAATATGTACAGCTACAGAAAATAATTTACTTTCCAGGTTTTGAGAATGACAGCTGCTTTTAATGGAATCACTCACATTTAAATGGTTTACTGTGGTATGCTGGTCACTTTTGTAACAGACTAGAAATAGCATACATATTCACATATAGATGTCCTAAATTGCTATGATGGGTCTTGTTGCTACAGAAAACCTGTGCATAAGAACAGTGTCCATATTCTTATTACAGCACAAATTTAATTCCAGTTTACTAAATTATTTATTTTATGAAAGAGAAAATAAGTTTTTGGGGTGTTTTTGTGAAAAAAAACTGACAGTGCCTCAAGGTTACAATCATATAACTGTTCTTGGAGTTGTGTATATATGAAGCAACACTGTCATGTTGAAAGTAGATCTATTGTTTCTTCTGATATATGTCTGCAAAAGTGTCAACTATTTGACTCTTCTACTGTATTAGAAGTTTTCATAGAGCCAAATTCCAAAGGCTCCAGCTTCTTGTTAATGTCCAGTCCCATTTATCAAGCACATTGAAATGACAAGTGCAAGACAGAGAGTTCTTGTTGCCCTTGGGCTGGCAAAAGCAGTCTGGTCATTTGAAAATCAGAATAAAGTTTGTAGCTGGATATAACAGTTTCATTTGGTGGTTTTTTTTTTTAAGTTGGTGAATTGTTCTGCATACAGCTTGATCCATAAGCAGAAAAACAATTTAAGGTTGGAAAAGGAAGGAAGGTCCTAGCATATTCTGAATGAAGATATATGGCTTCAATTCAGGGCACTGTATGTATCACAGACACAAATATTCTTTGTTGGAAAACTCCTCAAGAAACATTTTATTCTTGTTGGGATGTCTTCAGGTCTCTAAGCAACTGATTAAATCCTTGAAAGCGGGCCAAGAAGGTACACAAACAGGATTATGTGGTTAACCATTGGAGTAAATGAGTATAATGATTGCCAGGTTTGTTCAGGGCCTTTGTTCTCTTTGATGGTGGGTAGAGCTTGTGAAAAGAGGATAAAGCTAAGAACTGAATGTTTTAAAATAGGTTGTATATACCCTGGGCTGAAATAGCAAATGTATATTTTTGGCCCCTATATTAATGAAGTGGCTGAGATATCACACCTGTTTGTTTTTGAAGGTAAATCCTACTTCAGCTACAAAAAAGACACTAAATAAGACTCAGAGCATGATCAGGTAAGTGCTTGAGTGTCTGATATGCTGGTTTTAAAAGTTCAGCTAAGACATGTAACTAAGTGTGTGATTCTGCTGCAGCACAAATTAGAATAGAGGACATTTTTTGTGAATCTATGTACAAAAGTACATTCCAGGTTTTAGAGGAACAAGGTTTTCCTTTATTATTTGAGGAAAATGTTATCATGGAATTACAGAATGGTTTGGGTTGGAGACCAAAGATCATTTGGTTCCAAACCTCCTTCCATGGGCAGGGACACTTTCTGCTGAACCAGGCTGCTCCAAGCCCTATACAACCTGGCCTCGTTCATTTCCAAGGCTGGGACAGCCTCAGCTTCTTTCAGTAGCATGTTCCAGGGCATCATGGCGAAGTCTTTATGGTGAAGAATTTCTTCTTAATCTGTAACCTAAATCTACCTGCTTTCAGTTGATAACTGTTAGCCCTCATCCTGTCCCATCACTACACTCCTTGAAAAAGAGTCACTGATAAAAAAATGTTTTTGGTTTTTCCTGCATAAGGAGTTTTATTATTCCCCAGGATGGGACACCCAAGGGGCACACTGCAGAGCATTTGATGACTGAGTTATCTTTTCATCCTCTTCCCTTTTCCTTGCTACATGTCTGAGTGGAAAAGTCTACATACCAAGCTCAAATACTGAAAATAGAAAAGTAAGACTAAGAAAGGTAGCAGGTTGAGAATAATTGCAGATTAATTCCCCTCTGGAGTTTAAAAAGAATTAGGGGCATAGCTGTGCTCTTACATAATTTTCTGCCTGTTCTGTTCCCATGGTAGTAGAGCTTTCTTGCCATCTCTTGCTTCTGACTGCTGAGGAAATTTTAAATCTGAGTGTACATTATTGAATCTCACCAGTAGATATTTGATCTTTATAACAGAAGCCCACGCTTCCATGTGATGTGTATTGCATACACATACAAATGAATTACAGTAGAAATAAAAATAATTCAAACGTCTTTAAGATGTCTTTAATTTGAAGCTCAGAATGGGTATAATGAAGTTGTGGGTCTCCTTTGTAACAAAAACACCCAGATGGGCTCACCATCTCCACTCCATATGGCACTTAGTCTCTGCTCTGCATCCCGCTGTGCTCACAGTATAATCCATATGGACCTCACTTGATTGGTTTCCTGTTCCTGCAACACTGACTCTCTGTGCATGGCTTTCCATCAAACATGCACTTACTGCTGAGAGAACACATTTTTATGTGATAATTTCCTAGATTGTTGGAAATGTGAAAGCATTAAGTTTTTTGTGTGCTTTAGTCTGTGCTGTGGCTTTGGTCATTAGTGGTGAGGTAGAGTGCGCACATATAAAGCCAATGTGCAGAATTGTAGCCAATTTATGAGTGCTTATATGCACCCTCTGAAGACAGCTAGCAAGCATTTCTCTGTTCAAGCAGCCCGTTCCTAGGGTGTGCAAGGCATTAAATGGAGGGCCAGGAATTTGGAGGAAGGCCATGGGCAGGTATCAAGTGGCTTCAGCTCTGCATGGGGTATAGGATGTAAGGGGAACTCTGCAATTGCTAGGGTGTCAACTGCATGCTTGAAGGTGAGAGGCAAAAAGGACAACGCAAGTGCAAGTGGCACTCTGTCCAGGTTTTCTCTTTTCAAGGTGAATTAGCAGTGCTTGTACACTGCAAGCTGAAAGTGATGCAACTCTAAAACAGGGTTGACACTTGAAGATCCCAGGTGATAGAAATTCCAGCTTTAATGCTCACAGGATGTGTGCATAAAAAACCCTGCGAGCAGCTCATTAAGTATTGACACAACTTGTAGGAGTTGATCTCACAATCATATCTTGCTAGTGTGCATAGGAAAGGGGTACAACTTTGATGTTATCAAGTTGTTTTGAAAGCTACATTTAGTTCTGATAGTCCTGATTCTAAAGAGATTAAGCAAGAGGGTGCAGTGCTCTATGATGAAAGACCATAAGAACATGGCAGACTGACTACAAAGATAAAAATCTGGAAAAAGGGAAAAGAGAAGCTGGCCTAATGACTGTATGGTAGAGATTAAAAAGGATAAAGAGAAGGAAAAGGCTTTTTTTGATGTATCTTTTGTTGTAGTGAACCCTGCTAAAAAGCATTCTTTTGAACATATTGCAATTACCCTGTGGAATTGTGTCATTAAATATTTCTATAGCTAAGAAATATGTGGTATTCCGTAGAACTGATGATGAAAACATTCAGAAATTTGTTACATGTTATATAAATTATCTATACTATATATTTTAAATTTTTTTTATGTAAAAATATACGTCTTTATCTTATAGAAATGTACTTAGCTGCTGGCCAGTAAGATTTAGTATTATGCTTGTCACACATATATATATACACTATATATATATATATATATATATAGACACTATATATATATATACACACACACAAGCATGTGCTCACATACACACATTTACATAAATGTGTGTATATAAATATATATGTATTTATACATAAATATATATATTTATATATAAATATGTATATATCTATCTCACAAAAAACTCAGAGAGTTTGGCATCTTCCTTGAACTATGCATAGTAAAAAGCAGCATCAAGGAAGCCTTGAGACTGGTGACAATGGAAAATTCATAAAATATAGGCATGCTGAAGGACAAAGGGAGAAATCAGCATCTTTTTGACAGTCAGTATCTCTTCTACATAGTAATGCATATATAAGGGAAAATACTTGTGATAAAATATACCCTATTATATCCTTTATTTTTATTGCTGTCATGACAGCTGATAAACTAAAACTGCTGATTGTGTCTCGTTTAGCGACAACTCGTAAAAATTTCTCCTTCTTTCCCATTTTGCCTTTACCATTTTCTGCAGACCCAAGAATAATTTAAACAAATTACCACTATAATCTACATCACAGTTTCTCACAATATTTATTTTCAGATATAATATATTCATACCTATAAATTTACAGATGTAGATATGTTTTTTCAGGCCAGATTTGCTTGTGCTCCTCACAGTTCTAGGTGTCCCCTGGCAGCCACTGTATAATCACCATTGTTGCTGTATCACAGAAACACAGAACAGGTGAGGATGGCGCCTTTGGATCATCAGGTTGAAACTCCATCCCAAAGCAGGGACACCTAGGGCTGTTTGCTCAGGGTTATATCTGACCACATTTTGAATATTGCCAGGAGGCAGACTGCACTCCCTCTCTGGACACCCTGTTGGGAAAAAAAAGAGAAGCTTTTTCTCACACTTAAGCAGATTTTTCTCTGTTCAAGTCTGTGCTTTCTTGTCTAGTCATTGGGTCCCATGAGGAAAAGTTTGGCTGCATTTTCTATTCTTTCCCCATTAGGTATTTACAAATATCTAAAACATCTCCTCTGGGCCATTATTTCTTCAGTTTAAGCAGTCCCAGCACTTTCAGTCTCTCTTCATGTGACAGAGGCTCCAGTCTCTTAATCACCTTTGCTGCCCTCTGCTGGACCCTCTCCAATATATCCCTGTTGTTGGAGACCAGACCTAGGCACCGTACTCCAGATGCATCTCACTAGGCTGAGCAGCCCTCCCACTTCTTCCTAATCCAGTCCAGGAGGTTCTTGGCCTTCTATAGCACAAGGGCACATGGACCTTGGTTGATTTTCACTTGTCTAACAGGACCCCAAGATCCTTTCTGACAAAGCAGTTTTTCAACCAGCCTGCAGCATGTACTGGTATGTGGGTTATTATTTTGCAGGTGCAGGAATTTATTTTTCTGTTTGCTGTACTTTGAGATTCCTGTCAGCCCATTTTTTCAGCTTGTTGAGATCCTTTTCATTATCAGCACCCCTTTTATCAATTTGGTTTATTAATTGCTTCTCTCAGTTTTTTATCATGTTTAAATTTGCTGAGCATCTAATACTATCTCATTCTCCAGTTAATTAATGAAGATGTTAAAGACTCTTTGCCCTAGTATTAACTCTTTGTGTAGACTACTTCTACATCTCTTGGAGTGCTGCTGCTCTTCTGTGTTGTTTCTCCAGGAGATACTGAGGTTATTCAAGCTTCCCATGAGTATCATGGCTTGAAAAAATGAAATTATGTGAAGGTTTTGTCTGCATTTTCCTGATCAGGTGTCCTGTAGCAGACACACACAGTTGTGCTAACAACTTTGGTTTGACCTCTAATCCTGATCCCTGAGGTCTCAGCTAGCTCCTCATTCATCACAAAGAAGATCTTTATGCATTCACTCCCATAAAATGACTTTCCCTTTGTGCCATCCTGGCCTGTACTTAAATGTCCCTAAACTGGGACATGCCTCCATCAACTGCAGCACTTCAGTTGAGTGAATTCTTACCTCACCTCTAGGATGCTTTCACAGCCCCGCAGCTACACACTGACCTCTATTTCTTCATTTGTTCCCCTGTTTCAAGTGTTACTATACAGGCACTTCAGAGAGGCACCCAGCCATGCTCATTTTCAGAAAAGGTATGAGTGCGTTCCCCACGATACTGTCTTTGCTTTCAGGCACTCCTTTAGTTCTGTGCCTGTGCTTAAAATGAACACCTTTCAACTTTTTAAAGAAATTTTTTCATAATAAGGATATTCCAGTCCACATCACCCTGGAACCCTTGCTTGCCAACCTAGTCCACCATTTCCTCATTTAATTACTGGCTGCGGACTTTGTCCCATTTTTCCTACTTTAAAGCTCTTCCCACTTGCTTGCACAGCCTGCTGACAAAGATGATTTTTTCCCTCTTTGAAAGGTGGGTTCTGTCTCTTTCCAGCAGTTCTCAATCCTCAAACAGTCCCATGGTCACAGTGAAGCTGCTGTTGACCCGCAGAATCAGTGAGTCCCCGTCAGGATCAAGGAGACAAACTCGCAGTGTGCTGATCTCTCGTCCCTGCTTGTTTACTTGGCCAGACACACCTTCTGCCAGTTCACTCCTCTTGCTAGCCCAGCCTCAGTAGGAGAGCCCAGGCACCCCTGCAGCCCCAGACCTAAGAGATGCATCTGTACTCTAGCTGAGGCCCCAGATGTGCTGGGGAATTGCTCCAGTGGGGTGGGGACTGAGCCCTGCAGTGTCTCCAGTGCCACTGAGCAGCACATGTGCTGCTCTCCCCAGAGCTTCTGCCCCCACTGTGCGCCCTTCTGCATGAGCTGCTGCCTCTGTGACACAGCAACCCATCACCACAGCAAACGAATTTCTAGTCTGAACTAGCTGGTACCTAGATATGCTTTGTAACTCTGCAGTGGTTTGCCTCACTCTGCTTTAATACAGTGTCAGAAAAATGCTTTGTGGTTTAACAGCAGGTGACTGTATTGTTTATTCAACAATAGATTAGGCCTGGAGAAGGAAAGGTGTGAGGGCAGGAATGGGTACACATAATCTCAAATACCAGCAGAATGTCAGACTTTTAATAACTTGATCAGGGCCAGAGATGTGTATTAACCTGTTCCATACAAAGGGAGATGTGACCTGGGCAGAGAATAATTGAAAAGGGGTTAGCAAAAACCAAATAATATCTCTGGGGGTTTTGTTGGTTTTTTTCCTTGCTTTGTTTTTTTCTTAGGCTATACAGACTTGCATTTTGGTTCTAGGGTGTTTTCCTGTTTTACTGTAATTTTAGATGCCAAGTCTTCATTTACAAGTGGAGAAATAGTCTTTCAAATGTCATTTTGCCACGGGCATCAAGAAATATTTATACACACAGATTAGCAGCCAGTGTCTTTTTAATGAGAAAAGGGTTGTCATTTTTCATGGTACCAAATTCTGCTGTCATTGTTCTGTACTGTATTTTTAGTAACTCCATAATAAATAACTAAATACAACAAAGGTGGATTGCTCCAAAACGAGGAAATCTTCAAAAACCTTCACCAAACCTCCAAAATTGTTATCTCTAAGGAATAGAGAGCGACTTAATTTTTTTTTCCTTAAATATATTCTCTTTTAGTAACATATAGCAACAGCATATTAACAAATTTTATTAGACTCTAATTAATGATTTTAAATGTTGACATTGCATTTAAAAATGAAAAAAAAAATTGTCAGTCTATGTGGGTGGTGGGGAGACAAAGTCCCATGAATGTGGAATCATTTTATATGTTATATAATCCCAAGTGCTACCAGAAACAATGAGTAACGCCTGAAGTCCCAGAGTAATTTTTTTTCCTCCTGTGTACATTTAGCTCCTTCATTCTAGTTAACAGATCATGGTTCCAGCTGTCCTTGAAGTACATGTGAAATCAGACATTGATGTTAATAGAAGCTCTGCTGGACCCTGAGTAACTGAAATAATGCAGAAAGCTACAGTCCTCACCGTGAATATCGCCTAAAAGTAAGTGACCTGGACAACATTTCTATGGAGTGGACACTGTACTGACTTTGCAGTAAAATGAGGTGATGGTAGCAAGTCTAGTCTAGTCATGTCTGGTGCAGCATAGCTCTTGCCAGTAGTTTCTCACAGGTTGAGTATTTGTGCTCCTACAAAGGAATGAAATGTTCCTTTGTTTACCTGAGAACTAGATAGAACTGTGACCTGATAGTGACCCTTGTGAAGTAAGAAAGGACTGGTTTTAGGGATTTTATCACCTTTGAGTTTGTTTGTGATTTCTTCCCCCGCTCCTCATTTCCATAGCAACAAGTTTTTGAACCTATTACTTCATCATTAAAAGAAAAATTTCAGAGAATGGGAAAGAAAAATATTTCTGAAGTCCATAAGTCTGGTGTTCATGACTAATACTGAAGATTTATGAGGAACTACCTTTGTATTTGATAAGTTTACTTTATAATATCTTTTGTATGCATGAAGAGAATTTGTTGTTGTTTAAATAATACAACATTTATGCTTTATTTTCTTCATTGCAAAGACCTATATATAGTATAAATTGTCACAGTTCTGATATACACCACAGTTAGACACATCATTATGCCTATTGAAACTCAGTAGGATGAAAGGTTGGGTCAAATACCACTCTGAAGTGGAATTTTTGTATTAACCTCTGTTCTAATCACTGATTTTCAGACTTTCAAAATAGATGTAAGTGGATGTGGATTCACATTCTTGCTGCATGCACACTTTGGCAAATGGGAATTTGTTTTCTTGTATCTTATTTTACAGCAACAAATATCATTATATACATTTCTTTGATATACATTTGTTGCTGTGGGTAACCTTCAGAATTTTCATGTTTTCTGCATAGTAAAATTAGTTGCATGTACTGTAATCATACAGGGTTCCTGAAGATTAAAAGGGGAAAATGAAGCAAGTACTTTAAGCAATTTTAGTGAGTGTTGTAAAAATATGTAAGGTAACTGTGTCAGTTAACTGATGCCATTAGTTACTGTTGAAAGAGGTGAGCCAGAGTTGCAGCAAATGCAGGAACTTGTGCTTGGAAACAAGAAACCACTTATCAAAACAGAATTTTCCTTAGCTTTAGTGTCATCATGACAGAACTTCAGTTGTGCTATTAAGGAATATTTATATGTTCAAGCTAAGTATATCAACCTAAAAGGAATGAATGAATCAATAATATTTAGATACAGATCATAATGTTTTCTAACCTAGTGACTGGTCTAGAACTCCCCTTGTTTGAAAGGAAGCTTCTGCAGTGTGAGAGTAGATTGTCTTGCTATGGGCTCTTCATTATTCAAAGTTAGTAGGCTTTTCCTCACAGCTGTTGAGAGAATCAGACAGGAATGCAGAGATTGTTACAACTTCATGTTCTTTTTACAGACATTTGAGAAGCTGGGCACACTGAAAGAACACCTGTATGTGTAGAAGGGCAAACACAACCAAACCACAGCAGTCATGATGCTGAGAGGGTGCCCCATGTTTGGTAAAATGTGATAGAAGTCCCATTCTGGTGCCTCCCCTCAGTCCCACACAGTCATCATTCTCTGTGACAGAAGAGTTTCCATAGTGAGATAAAATGTAATTAAGCAACACTGAGTTTGAAATTCATTTGGCAACAACTCAGATGTTTCTCAATACTTTGTGTTGTTCATTAGTATGAAAAACTGCGGCCTTTACCACATTTACATTCATCTGAGGAGTATGTAATGAGGGAAAGTAGCAAGAAAACATATAAAAGCTGTCTGTATAGCAATGCAATAGCAGTTAAGAAATATAATAAAATGAACACAACCACCTAGAATTAAATGCTAATTAGAATGATGTATTGTGGCCATTCACAGAGTTTGATCTAAGCTCTTGATTACTGGTGAGCACAGACTGCTCAGCAACAGGCAGATAAACTTTCTAGATCCATCTGTCTGCCAAAGTGCTTTTCTATATGATGTTCAACTGATTATCTGAACCAAACATTTTACTTAATGTTTCAGCACCAAAATATGTGTTTTATTTACTGACCATGGAGATCCCTCATCTCTCTCACTGGTAATAATTACTCTGTGTAAAAATGTTATTTTAATTTTCTGTATAGGAACAGAGTCAGGAAGAAATCAGCCATTGGTTTGTCAATTTCAGTACTTCAATGCTGTAGGGAAGCATTAAATACAGTGGTTTCCAATCCCTTCTAGCCGGGTAATACAACTGGAAAAAAATATTTAATTTTTATTTGTGTTGTTTTTTTGTCTTCATCATACTGACAAAATCAAAATATTTTATTGTCATTCTGAAAATCTTTGAGTCCCTGTTGTGTTGTGGAACTAATCACTGCATACTTTAGCCTTACTGACCTCAGAAGTACTGTTTGGAATTATGGTATTATTGCATGGCGCAGTGGTTCAGACCACAGCTGATACACTATTAGAATATTTTTGTCTGCAGTTTAAGAAATCTGCAATGTAATACTGTGTTTCACAGGGATTTTGCAATAGCTTATAGCACTTAGAGTTCCACTTACAATTCTGCAATGAAAAAAAAAAGGAGAGAAAAATGGGGTAGAAACATTAAAAGAGTCTGTCTGTCTTTAATTACTACTAGTTAATTTATTCTTTTTATTTTTCTGAATCGTCTGCCACCCTGAAGCATAGACGCCTTCATTAAAGTGTTTTTCTCCCTTCAGAAGGAATTTTCAAACTATTTTATTTGACAGCTAACTAAAGTGTACAGTTTTCCTTTCTTCACTTTCATGGCCTATTAATTTCCCTTATAAGGCCAATCAATTTTGTTACCAATAACCAATGTTGCCACATTAGACCAAGAAGTAGAAGCTGTTCCCAAGATACATCTCTGTGAACTCTGCTGCTAAAATGGTTTTCCTCAACACTGATTAGGGCCAGAACACTGTGAGCTTGGAGACTTGTATTCACCTAAAGCAAAGTAAAATTGAGTAATTTTAACTACAACCCATGTAGTGTGAACAGCCAAAGGTAACTGACAGCTTTCTGAGAATAGCTGTCAGGTTTGTGAACCTTGCATGAAGCGAGAAGCTCCCCGGTGCCAAACTGGTTCCAAGGAGTGCACATTGCACCCAGGGTGCTGTGAATTTGTCAGCAGTGCCCAGTGTTCTATTTCAGGATTAAGGCATTTGCACAATGCAAGTACTTGTGCTGTATGCCAGTCTCCATCAGAAGACTGGGATGTGGGATAATGTAGGTGATACCCAGAAAAAATGGTGTAAGCTTCATTGCACTGGTATCAGGGGAAGCTCCTTAAAAAGTCGGATGAAGCCTACATTTTTTAGTAGTATTCAAAGTCTCAGAAAGATTTACAAAGAAAGAGAGACTGATTTAGGATCAGAGAAAGTGTAGTCTTAAGGATCAGTTATAACTGGGAGGTAATTAATGTAAGTAATGCTATGATTTAAGAAATAAATATGAGCTCTTTTCTGGAGAGGAGTGGCAGAAATCTCCTCCCCCACCTGTGTGATGATGTCTGTTTGAAAAAAGGGGGACACAGAAACAAGGTTTCTTTGCAGTACACAAAACTGAGACTTTTATTCTCAGGAAAACATTTAGTTGCCTTAGTGAAACAGACTATCAGTCAGTAATTTCCATGTATGTAGCAGGCTTGGGTGGACCTGAAATGAGGGGAGGAGTAAAGACTCAGACTCACCCGCCAGTTAATGCAGTGATGCCCACAGCGTCTACTTGGTAGGTGAGAGAATCACACACAAAATGTGCTTTGCTCACAATAGCAGGTTAAATCTCTTACATCTGTCTCAAGTAAATACTTCTATTAGCTTACAGATCATGACAGAGAAAAATTTGCTCATTCCATCTTTGCTGGAGATTTTTTCGCATTTGGTAATTCAATACTTGATAAAGCCCTGAACTTCCACCTTCCCCAAATCACTCTTATTAACCCTCTCTGATTCTTCTTCCTGTCTTCCCTCCTTTCTGCTTTGAAAGCTTAATTTGATAGAGAGAGAAAGTAATTTTAAATAATAAAAATTCTTTCCTAGCTTTCTCTGGCAGGCATGATATTTAGGTTTTTTTTTTTTATTTTTTCTATTAGATTTATGTACCTCTTGGGCTGTGCAAAGTAAAATAGATCTTTGAATGTCTGTTCAAAATATATACCCAGAAATTCTGTGGTCCAGGAATTGCATGACAAACTGGGTGGACACATCAATGGAATTTTCTCAAATTATAAAATTTACACATTTACTGATCTAGAGCTGAGATTTAAATAAAATGGTTTAATACCTAAAAGATAATTTTTGACAGACAAGTCTCTCTGGCTTTAGAAATGCTGAGGATTAGAATTAAAAGCTCCAAATTCCTTCAGGTAAAAGAACATTTTACACTGGTATTGAGGTAATAGATACATAGAAATCAAGTCCAGAGCATATAGAAAATGGTTAAATGTAGAGGATTTCTACCTTGACTAAGGTATAACAAGAATTTTGATCATTAGTATTTTTTACAAGATTTAGTTTCTCTATGACTCAGCAAGGAATCCACCTTTATTTGCTCAATTTTGCAATAATAATTCAGGGAAAGTCCTTTTTGTTTACACAAATATTTAAAGCTTCTGTGTGTGTGAGTAAGGCTATGGACCATGAGTTTTTTGGTTTTTTTTTTGTGCAAACAAAGGTATTCATGCTGAAATTTCTTAACTAGCTCCATAATATAAAAATGCTTTTTGCCTCTAACCAGAGGGAGACAAAAAGTATTTTAAAACAAGAAATGAATAAGCTTTGGTATTAATTAATTTGAGCAGAAAAAATGAATTACAGGATTATATTATTAATAGTAAAAAATAATCACTGAAAGAACAGGTCTGTGCTCCTGGGAAAAACTACTATTCTGAAACATTTGGCTGATCAGCCTCACCTCAGTCCCTGGGAAGGTGATTGAAAACCCAATCCTGAAGAACATTTCAGGTGCATGAAGGACAAGAAAACAGGAGCAGTCAGCATGGACCCA